CGGATAGTGGCAAACTCTGAGTCAAGCCTCCGTTCGGATAGAAACAGCGGAAACTGACAACGCAGTAGGAATGTTGGAGATTGCCTTTAAAAATCAAAATTTCCAATCGACGCTTGTATTTACGCCCCAGTGCGTAATTTAGGGTCATGGGAGGGGGTAAAATGTGATGGAGTGGTGATGAGTGCTTCAAGTTCAGGTCAAATATTGACATCATAAGCCTTTGGATGGCGACGGATATTAGAGCATGAAAAGGAAAATGCTTCTCCACAGTCAGACCTTAGAAAACTCATTTGAGTGATCGAACTTAAAACAGCCGGTAGGATCTGCGCCATGGTTCCTTGGCACCTTAAATATGAGAGAGCTTGGGCCTCCCAATTCCTGCCATCGGTGGCAGAAAAATATGGTGGATTCCTTCATCCACTTCTGCATGAAAACGTGGATAAGTTGATGCCATCCATTCGCAATTGGACTTAATAATGACAAACAAGTTGAGTGGCAGGAGTGAAAGTGCATCAAATTAGCAAGGCTTGAGTGAAGCTTGCTAATTTTCTGATTGATGCTTATCACCAACCATTTCTTCAAAAATCCATTTACTACTCATATTTGTTTAGGTCTTGCTACTCATTCAGTCTTGATAAATAAACTTTTAGCCTTCTCCCTGAAGGGATTTGCAAAACCGGAACGGTGATTTTCTGACGTGAATAGCACGATTCATATGAAATCAGAAAAAGCATTTGGGTCAAAACCTTCGCAAACATTCGTCTGTGGGCGAGTAAAAGAATAAGCACCAATAGAAGTCGACCACCTTTGGTTTTATCCAAAGTGACAGGCTTCGATAAAGGAAGGTACCGCGGTTGTTTTGACAGCTGAACTGTCACCCTCATTAATAACTTCGTTGGGTAAGTACTTACCAACAAATTATTATGCTACATTAAAAGACAAACGTATCAACTAATTTTGAAATCAAGACAACGATTGGGTAGTCGCAATCCCGTCTTGCCTAAACATTAAGCAGGCAATGATTCGCGGGAAATGAGGGAAATTCAGGAGGTGACATGCCAACCAGTCAGATTAAAACGAAAAAGTTAATTTGTATCTGTGCGTATCAATCGCAAATCTGCTCCTAAAGATGCAAAGAGAAGTAAAATACTGGACCTAGTCGAAGTGGTTATTTGTTTGCTAATTTATCAGGGTTTAACGCTAGTTTATCAAAGGTTGGTTAAGGTCTGACAGTTGTGAGTTTTCCATTAGCTCTGGAGGATTTTGCGATGAAAATTTAGAGAAAGTTAAACCATAATTTAGCTGCAAAAGGCAATCGAAATGAGAGGAACTAACTTGATCTTTGCCCAATTGTTTACCCAACAACTGAACCGACTTCATGTCCACCTTCTTCTTTCCAGGCTTTTCTTTCTTGCGTCGCTTGAAGATGCCACGCTTGCAGATGCAGTAGAGAATGAGGAGAAGGAAAAGGACGAAGCCCACCACCATCGCGATAACTGCTGACGGTGGCACTAAAAAGTTTTAAACCAACACTTAATCATTTAGTGCATATTTCGAGTTAGATGCGAATAAAATGGACAAGTCAGGTTCGCCGACTAATTTTTTTTTTGAATTTGGTTATTTCGTAAGTAAAAATGCCCTTGGAAGATGATCGTTCATATCAGAGCCGCCCTCAATGCTGCATAATCTACCAATCAGACGGATAACTTTTTTGCCATCAATCTATTTTGATAGGTTTGTTCCTCTTTTAAGTGCACTTTATTCGTGCGCCCTGACTTTATGGCCTTACCAACACCTTTACACATTGTTAATTAGCTACTCACAAAACTGTGCCCTGTGACAACTCTAGAGGAGGTTGGGGTCCCCACAAATCATAAACCAATCACTCAGCGAATTAGGAAGCAAAAATAATATTTATGCTTATTTTGACTTCATGATCAAGCCTATTTTACACTTTTTTGAAATTTTGTCTTCCCAAACAAACTTGACCCCATCCAAAGAGGTCAAATGAAGCGAACGGAAATCAGCATTTAATTTTAAAATCAAAAATGTCGATTAATTTAAAATAGTCTTACCGTGCAGCTTCTTGGCCAAATCATTAATGACAACCTTCACTTGCTCCTGAATTTTTGCATTCGAATTCTGGTTACTCGAAGTTGTGGTGGCCGGTGGTTGAGGTGATGGAGAAGTCTCGACAGGCGCTGGGACGGTCTCGCCAGTTCCTGCTGCAGGACCTTGAGCGGTCACGACTGGCATTGGTAGGACCTCTACAGATAACAATACACTTGCGTTCAGGAAACATAGTTTAGATGCAGCAATTTAGGTGGACGCTCAAAAGTGTATTTTAAGTTGGGTCATTTGGTGTAAGGAATCTCGTTTACATTTTGGAGCCTCTGTTGGCTTTGGCAAAATATATTTTAATAACAAGAGTGCTTTTCATTTTTTTGCAGCGTTTAATTAGCCGCTGTACAACCGGGAGGAAGTCTGCTAAACATTTTTACTCCTCTTCAAAAAGGCCGTAATCACTTTCGTAATTGTGACAAATTAAGTGAACTCAGTTACTATATTGCAAATCGAATAAATCGCTTTGTTATCTTCAATTCGAGTACGCATCTAACATAGAAATTT